TTTTTTTTTTTTTTTTTTTCAAATATAGTACTTCTATAGATAATGTAATGTCCTTGTTAATTGAATTTAAAAAATACCATGTTAATCAAATATACTATCTTATAAATTTCATTATTTTATTCATAGAGGTCTGACTTCTTGCAACTCATTATCTCATTATTACTATCTTATGTGGTCTACCAAAGCAACCCGATTTAGATTACTGGTTCTCTATAGATCTCTTAATCGTATTGCATCTTCTCATTTGAGTACCTGAAAAAAAGTTCGGAAGGTTTTCGACGTAGAGTCTCTGTCGATCAAGTCAGTCCCTCTTATGTATATGATATATACATTAATGAAAATAACACAAACGCAACAATAACCATACCTCCACTTTTATAAGAGAGTATATATGTACCTTGTTAAGAGCAATCATTCCTTTAAGAAACTAGATATACACATACTTCTTGTAATAGACTTCCTTCTATATACTACAGATGCTCACAATCCTCACAATCTCACATTCATCAAATGTCACGCGGATAAAGCTTCTACCAGTTCACCAAGTCAACCGAAAGTCACTTTGTGGAAATAAATGTGTTGTTTTGTACCAGCTCACTAGCCGAGTCTCCAGTTACCTAGGCCCCAGGTCGCTAACTCGACCTATCGCGCTTAGAGCATCAACACTGATCTGGGTTCATTAAGAAAAAAAAAAATTACATGTCATGTAGGAAATAGAGCCACTCTAGAAAAAGACATTTCTAATGCAAGTGAAAGTGGACTGAGCCATCTGATGCGACAACAAGAAAAAGAGTCTTTGTCCACTACCTTTAAGTCTATTTTAGATTCAAGTATAAACCCGATCTCTTTGCATTAGAATGAATTTAGTTATATTTGTTTAGTTTTAATAATGTCATCCAAGACTTATGTTTATTAAATGTCATGTAAACTGTTAGAATATCACTTGTGAGTTATCCCACATCATTTATACATAAAAAATAGACCCACCTTATAAGTCTAATGAGCTACTTCTCCTTCCACCAATTGATTTTGAGATGGAACCCCACTTGGGTTTTATGGGCTTGCCCGCTTTGGTGCGCTTCATGTTAGTGGGCCCGCACCCCGTTTTTCCCCCAGTTTCTTACATGGTATAAGAGCCGGTTCTATTGAGACCAGTGCAATGACGTACCTGTTTATGGGAGTCTACTTCTAGTAGGCTTTTGGGCTTGGGCTTCTGAATGACTCAAGTGAGGGGGCGTGTTAGAATATCACTTATGAGTTGTCTCACATCATTTATACATAAAAAATAGACTCACCTTATAGTCTAATGGGCTACTCGTCTTTTCATATGGACTTTTCCGCTTTGGTGCGTTTCATGTTAGTGGACCCGCACCCCTTTTTTTCCCCAGTTTCTTACATAAACAAAATTCGACCCAAAGCATTGTGGATGCTCTTAGGAACCCCCAGTTTCTTACATAAACAAAATTCGACCCAAAGCATTGTGGATGCTCTTAGGAACCTACCTCGACCTATCACCTCTAAGATGAGTTAAGAGAGCTTCGGTTTAGAAACCGAGCTACACAAGAACTCCAGTTCAGTATCGAGCCCTCTATGCTATATGACGTATATCA